ACTGTTTGTTTCTCTGAGGGAAAATAAGAATTAGGACCTTCTGTTCCTCCCATCAGCTGTTGAGTTCTATGTACAAAGACCAACACCTGGGCTAGGAAAGGATAGTTCTGAGTTTTAGGTTTTAATACCCAAATGAGGAGATTAACAACTTCCTCTTTTATTAAGACCTGGAGTACTGAGTCCCAGTTTTTGAAAACTTTATTCTTCTCATTAAAGTTTCATGTAAAGGTCAAGTTTTGCATGCAGGAGAGTAACTGGTAATATATTTGAGAGAGTACAAGACAAAGCTCCCAACCCCAAAATTGCACTATTACAGGGAAAATATTTATTTCACAATTAACTGTATTAGTCATTATTTCTTAAAGCCTTTAGGATCAAAATTATTCCTATTAAGAGGCAAATAATTCAAAAACATTCACATCTATTTTTAATTAACATAAGATTACTTGACAATTACCTAAAAGTAAGAATACCACATAATAGGTATATTATGGCACTCCTAGCAAAGATGAGAAAGATCTAAAGATGAGGTTTAAATTTGTTTCAAGACCAACTCAGCTTATGCTCCTTTGAGGCTTTAAACCCATCAGGTTTAAATCATTATTTCATTCAATAATAGTATGCTCTGGTCTTGCTACCTTAAAAGCAGAATATATTTATATGATAACTATGAGTGTATTTTAAGCAATCATTTGATGAAAAAATTGAATTTTCTTTATAATATCATTTTCCTATTGAGAAACTCAAAAATGTTGGTACTTTTAGGTTACTTTAAACCTAGAAGACTCACATCCCTTCTGGAACTCCAAAAATCCATCCTTAAATGCTCACTTAAATTTTATAAACCTTAGGAAATATTCCATGCTGCCCCCAGACAAAATTTGTAGCTTTTCTTTCTCCTCCTCCACAAGACTTTGATTTTACTTTAATTGTGGCCTTCATTTAATTCTAATGGAATTTATCATTTGCATATATCTAACCCTTACTACACAACCAGCAGTTTATTCAACTCTGTATGTCTAGTACCTAGTACCTGACACGTAGTAAATGCCCACAATTTAATCTAATCTCACCTAAGAAAACTAATCTCTGTATATCTATGGGCATATTGGAACTTGAAACGGCAGGCATCAGGGTGTTATGAGAATTCAGGAGCCTGGATTTATTGTTGCTCTGGGTCAAATGTAAAGTTAGCTCTAACACCACATTAAAAAGTTGGTGACATTTGTAGTTTAGAAAACTAGACCTCTCATATCTGGGTTCTTCTGTATCCTGCCTACAACCTAGCCCTTTCTTATACTTCAGTCATTTTTCCTAACCATATTCCAACCTGCCCAGTATGCTTTTTTTCTTCCTAAATCCAACACTTTGCAAACTTTAAGTTAATTAAAAATAACCTAGATAAATTGTTTAAAAATTTATATTATATATTCCTTAGCCCTAACCCCAGAGAATGGTCCATGTTTTTAAGAAGCAAACTAAACAATTCCAATGCATGCTCTTAGGAAATAATGCAGTAAACCTAGATTCACAATTAATATGGTATAAAATTTAGTGAAACTTCAAGATGTTGGGAGTGTATCTCTAAAAGAGGAAAAGAGAAGCAAAGCAAACCAGTGTGTTCCTTGTAGAATGAGAGGGGTCTGGCCAGGAGGAACATGAGAGGAGCACTGCATGAGAGGTGAGGAGGCTTCAGAGACTGAACTTGCACAGAAACGTACCTCAGCTGGCCCAGGAGCAATTTACAAACCAAATGCCCCATGTGGATGAAAAGAACTGGAAAAGGTCTGATAAGCACAAGTCAACGATAAGGCCTGGCAGGAGCATCCCATCTTCTAGAAGGGAGATAGGAGGGCTTCATCGATTCCAGGTAGATTTGGGATCCTAAGCCAAATGTGTAATGCCAAGAGAAAACACTTACTGGGATTGATAAAATAGGTAGATAGTGTCTGTGATTCTATGTCTAGACCAATTCCAGTAGAATACTTCACTTTCTGCATGATAGAGAGCTGCATTCCCTGTGATAAAATTTGCAGAATAAGTTTCTTTAGTGTGTTCAAGTAAGGTAGTTGTACTTTGGGGGTGGGGACTGGTGATGGGCCAGAACACCTGCCTTCCCTGCTGTGAAGGAGGAACTGAGGGCCATGGGCATAAGACCCAGTCTAGCACACATCCTGAGGGGAGTTTCATTTTTTCAGGATCACAGCTGTAAACTACCACATTGACTTTCACGTACAGAATTTCTATCACTAGGAAATAAAGTAAGGTATCACTTGAAAATTGATATCACAATGTGTAGTCACAGACACGCTCATCTAAGACATTATGGCTAAGTAGTTAAAAGTGGGGGTTCTGAAGTTACTTTCTATAATTCCAATCTCTAATTTCACTACTCACTAGATATGGGTCCTTAATATCTCTAACTCAATTCCCTTGCCTATACAATGAAAGTAACATTTACCTTGTATAGAAATTTACAAGGTAAATTGTTAAAGAAATTTTTACAAGGTAAATTGTTAAAGAAATTTAACAATGAAATGAATAAAAAGTTCCTGGCACATTGTAACTACTCAATAAATGATAGTTGTATTATTACAGGTCATTATAATATGTGGCATTCCAAATCAATGCCCTTTCTTCCCCTGGTACATTTAAGTTTCAAGTTCAAATAATCATATTTCCTAGTGCCACAGTCAGGCAAGCATAAGCATGCATCTTAATTCTCCCTCGGAGGTTTTTTAAACTTGCTGTGCTTCAGTTGGCTCAACTGTAAAGTAGACAAAAATAATAGCTATTTTGTTGTGTGAATTAAGTCATTATGTAGATCACATAAAAAATGTGTATGTGTGTGTCCCTCAAAGATCTAATTCCCTTGGCCAAGCTGTATTTTTAGTGCAAAATGCATAGGAACGAGAAATCATTTCGAACAACATTAACAATTTCTGACCGTGTGGCTTTAGACAAGTCTTCCTAGACATCAGATAGGCCAGTCAACAAGATTATTTTGAGATTAAAAGTGACAAAATTTTAAATATGTATACACAAGGATTATATTGTTATTATCTAGAGTAATAAAAGAGACAGCTAGACAACTAACAAAGTTACTTGGGAACTTGTAAGAAATTATTCAGGTGAACTGCCCATGGAATACTCAGTAACAGATGTTAGTGTGTGTATTTTATAACAGTAGCTGAGGGTAATATTGAATGCTTGACAGGTAGGCTTTTTAAGATACTTTAAATTATAATATTTACCGAATACTTTGTAAAGGGACACAGTTAACATATTTCCTTTATTTAAAATGATTATGTTATTCTGCCCTGGCTGGTGTGGCTCAGTGGATGGAACACTGGCCAGATCCCCCACTGGGACCATACGAGAGGCAACCAATTGACGTTTCTCTCTCACATAGATGTTTCCCTCCTTCTTTTCCTCCTTTCTTCTCTCTCTAAAAATAAATAAATAAAATCTTTTTTAAAAAATAAGTAAATACAATAAGATGATTATATTATCCTGAAATAGTGCTCTAGCACCCTTTTCTGGGTTTATCTACTGAGGTATTCTTTGATTTTGGACATATGGGCTCTAGGCTTGCAGAATAAAGCTTTATTATTAGACAGCTACTTAAATCTCAGGACATATTCCTGCTAAAATGGACTAAAGCAGGGTGTATCCTGATTGCCTATCTCCTTCAGCCTTAGAACCAGGATTTCTGACCTCTGGAATATTTGCTGATAGTATTTGCAAAGGTGTCTTAACACAGAATTGAAAAATTACACGCATATCCCATCTTTCATGCTGAAAGTCTGGAGTAATACATGAGCCTAGATTACACTTCATCAAAGTTCTCAACACTGCATTTCCTGACAATTAAACAAAGTAGCTTGATGACCATTGGCATTCTTTTGTCTTAGAATGGTTTCCAACATTTTCACTAATTGACAGGTAGGATCTTTGTAATTCTGAATATTTGGCGCTGAATTTGAGAAAGGAATTTTAGAAACAAGATACCTAGTGAAATTCAGTATTTCAAAATTTATAAATGAATTTCATGAGATGCCAAAAGCTCCAAGGAAAATGAACATATCTCCAAAAGAAGACAAAAGATGCAGAAGCAAGTCAATGTATCCTGTCTCTTTTCATAACATTTCCTCCCACTCTCCATAATCATGCCATAAGAATACTGGGAGAGCTGACATTGAGAGGAGGCTAGGAAATATTACCCTAGGAACAAGAATATCTTGTACTCTGTAAAAGGAAGTCTTGATAAAAACAACAACACCGTATGACAGGTCTAGACCTCTGCACAGTCCAGTCCCAACTGGCTCACTGGCTGATTAAGAAAAATAAAATTTTAAAGATGCAACACCCCAGATTTTTACTCTTAGTTTAAGCTAAGCCAGAACACAGAAAGACCACAAACATGGAGAGTTCTTGATACTGATAACAATTTTGCCCACAGTGCATTTATTCTGCAAGGTCTTCTCCAACCCCTCACGCTTCTGTGTTCCTCTAAGGCCACACTGCTCATGTGGTACCCAGCCTACATGTAGCAGGGGATGCAGTATGAGCATAGGAGCCACAAAGGTTGGCATGAAATCCTGCCTGTACCACTTGCTCCCTATTTAATCATAGAAGAGTTCCTTACTTCTTCAGTCATTCTTCCTTTATCTATAAGAACAGAAATGCTACCCTTAAGGGTAGCAGCAAGGGGAGATAGTGCATATAAATTTCCTTACACATATTTGATATTCAATATTATCCATTATCTATGTTATTATTGGTATACTGCTTGTTATTATCATGTTGTAAGATTACTCCTTGTAAGTCATTTGCAGGCACAAAAATAGATTAATATATTCTCAGAATATAAGAAAGTGTTGGGTGCTTATTATTTCATTGATTAAATGATGATTGGTGATTATGGACCCCGTTAGAAAATTGTTTCTTTTCTTTTTTTTTCTTTTCTTTTCTTTTATTTTCTTTTCAGGTGACTGGAAATGAATCCTGAAAACTGGACTCAGGTAACAGTGTTTGTCCTTCTGGGTTTCCCCAGTAGCCATGTCCTGCAGTCCCTGCTGTTCCTGGGGTTGATGGTGACCTATATTGTAACAGCCACAGGCAACCTACTGATTATTTGGCTCAGCTGGATGGACCGACGCCTACACACACAGATGTACTTCTTCCTGAGGAACCTGTCCTTCCTGGAGCTGTTGCTCGTGTCTGTTGTGGTTCCCAAGATGCTTGTCATCATCCTCACAGGGGATTGCTCTATCTCATTTGCCAGTTGCATCATCCAGTCCTACTTCTACTTCCTCCTAGGAACCACTGACTTCTTCCTCTTAGCTGTCATGTCTCTGGACCGTTACCTGGCAATCTGCCGACCACTCCACTACGAGATCCTGATGAGTGGTCATGTCTGTTCCCAGCTAGTGCTGGCCTCCTGGCTAGCTGGATTCCTCTGGGTCCTTTGCCCTACCATCCTCATGGCTAGCTTACCTTTCTGTGGCCCCAATGGCATTGACCACTTCTTTTGCGACAGTTGGCCCTTGCTAAGGCTCTCCTGTGGGGACACTCGCCTGCTAGAGCTGGTGGCTTTTGTGCTCTCCACATCAGTATTATTGGGCTCACTGGCACTGACCTCAGTCTCCTATGCCTGCATCCTTGCCACTGTCCTCAGGGCCCCCACAGCTGCCGAGCGAAAGAAAGCATTCTCCACTTGTGCCTCCCACCTTACAGTGGTGATCACTGTCTATGGCAGCTCCATTTTTCTCTACATTCGTTTGTCAGAGTCTCAATCCATGCTGCTCAACAAAGGAGCCTCAGTCTTGAGCTGTATCATCACACCCCTCCTAAATCCATTCATCTTCAGTCTCCGCAATGATAAGGTGAAGCGGGCCCTGAGAGATGCCCTGAGGTGGCACAAGCCCATGGGTGGGAGAAAATCTGAGGGCCACATGTGAAAGGAAATATTCCTACTAGGTTGCAAAATTAAAATTTTATTTGATTTTTAAATGTATTTTGAGCTATTTATCAAGATAATAGTAGCTATAAAATTTGGCTGTTAGCTGAGAAAAAATGATTTTTTTAATTTCCCTTTATAACCCCTTAACACATCAAGATTTAGGCCTAAGAAACTTACTAGAACAAAGAGTTTTAACTAAAGGAAGTCCTGGTCACACAGGGAAAAAAAGAGGAAATACTAAGAGGAAACAAAGGAATACTCAAGCAGAGGGAGCAGATGATCAGAGGTGTGTCTCCATATTCCATTACTACACTGCCTCTGAGGGTAAACTGAGGGGAAAGCCCAGAGCAGAAGGCCTCTTCCTAGTTTACAGTTAGCCTCTTGTGAATGAGCTAGCCCCACAGGCTGTCCACAAAACAACCTGGCAGGTGGTCACATCAAATTATCTAAAAGAAATGGGATGGTGAGACAAAGAATGGGCTGAGACATTAGCTTTCCAGACATCCTTAGTTTCCATGTGACATAGATGGAACTCAAGATTTGGTATACTCCCGAAAAGAAATACAGATAGAGTCTGAGTTGATAGTTAGTAGATGATCATGGTATTCACAGTGGCCAGGGGTGAGATGATTAAGCCTTTGAGGTGAAAACTTGGTCTAGGAATAGATGGGAAGGGGAGTAAGAGACTCAATTAAACATATAACCCAAACCAAATGAACAAACAAGCAAAACAGAGATAGATTCACCTTCGATTTTAAATGACAGACTTTCTGGATAGAGTGGTCTTTGTTGAAGGTCCTTCCTTTTCTTCACTTTGAATATTTCACGCCAATCCCTTTGGCCTGAAATGTTTCTGTTAAAAAATCTGCTGACAGTCTTATGGGAGCTCTTTAGTAGGTAACTAACTGTCTTCCTCTTGCTGTTTTTCAGATTTTCTGTGTGTCTTTAACTTTTGCTATCTTAATAATAATGTGTCTTGGTATGGGCCTCTCTGAGTTTATCTTGTTTGGGACTCTCTGTGCTTCCTGGACTTGTTTGCCTTTTTCCTTCGTCAGGTTAGGGAAGTTTTCAGTCATTATTTCTTCAAGTACGTTCTCAATCCCTTGCTTTCTTTCTTCCTGTTTTGGTATCTCTATGATGTGGGTGTTGTTATGCTTGATGTTGTTCCACATGTCTCTTAGACTATCATGATTAATATTTTTTTTGTTGCTGCTTTAATTGGTTGTTACATGCTTTATGTTTTATGTGTTCCAAATTCCTGATTCAGTCCTCTGCTTCATCTAATCTGTTGTTGAATTTGTTAGTGTATTCTTCATTGTCATTCTGTGTTCTTCATTTCTGACTTTCTGTCATTTTTATGCTGCTATCACTTTGTTAAAGTTCTCATCAAGTTCTTTGAGCATATTTATAACCATTGTTTTGAATTCTGCATGGTAGCTTGTTTGCCTTCATTTCATTTATTTATTTTACTGAGAATTTATTGTGTTCTTTTATTTGAAACATGTTACATTGTCTCCTCATTTTGGCTGCTTCTCTCTACTTGTTTTATGTATCAGGTAGATCTCCCCTCCAGGTCCATTCATACTGTTGCAAAGGGTAAAGACTCATACATAAACAGCAGGCTGACAGCTGTCAAACAGGGTAGGGGATTGGGAGCCTGGCGGGGGTGGGGGCAAGTGTGAAGGGATTCAGCAAAAAAGAAAACAAAAGAGATAAACAAACAAACAAATAAACAAAATTGAAGGCAAGTGAAATAAAGAGCTTCCCAGACAAGAAAATGCTAAAGGAGTTCAATACCACCAATCCAGTATCACTAAAAATTTTTAAAAGACTGCTTTAAAAAAAATAATTACAAATAATAAATACGCACCTATCAATAATTACTTTAAATGTAAATGGATCAAATGCTCTAATCAAAAGACATGGGGTAGCTAAATGAATAATATAACAAACCCCATATATATGCTGTCTAAAGGAGACCCATCTCAGAACAAAAGACACAAAGAGACCAATGCCAACCTTTCTGTACAGAGTCCTACTATCATATGGCCAAATCTTGGTCTCTTTGGGCCTGATGAACACTGTTGGTGTCACCCTGGTGAATCATTGAGACCCTGCCCAAGCACAAAGGTCCATGGGCACACAGCAAGTGGCAGCTAAACTCGGTGTACCCAGAGACTGTGGCCGAGTGGCATCAAACCCAGCACTGATGCCCAATTTGAATCTCTTATTAATCTGGTGAATACCACTCGCCTATTCCAGGTGACTCACTGAGAGCCTCCCTCACGTAACTCATTTACCAACAAAAGCTCTTTCAGAAACCAAGTCTAACAGGCAGCTAACAGGTGAGGGCAAATCTCAGGGAGCCTTGTGCCTTTGCTGACCTACCTTTGAGCATGGTGATGTTAGAAACTGGTCTTGGTATGCAAATAGGTCCATCCCATGCACACCCAGGCCCATCAGAGATAGCCACAAAGTGTGGATTTCTTTGTAAGATCAAAATATGTAGCCCAGGGCCCATGGCTGGCAGTGCCTGGCATTGCTCTACACTGGATGACCTTCCAAGAGGCACCAGAACCAACACAACCCTTGGTTTGGACCACATCAGAGCACAACCCAATTAGCTCGACAAGCAATACACAAAAAGGGAGATCTTGGAAGACACTAGACCTTGTTGGGGTGAATTCAGCTTGGTGGAGCAAGCCCTCACACAGCAACTCATACATTGCTCTCAGGGTTGACCTTCATAGCCAGCCAGAGGGACACCCCTACCAATGGGCCAACAGTAATCAAAACTCAAATACAACAGGAAGGCTCACACAACACACAAAAAAGACATTCCTAGTTTAAGCAATCAGAAAAACTGCCTCCAAGCACCACAAGACACATACTCTATAAGACCACCATTCAAGGTATAGCATATCAAAGTAATACACAGAAACAAATATGGAGAAACAGTCAAAATAATGAGACAAGGAAACCTCAAATGAAAGAACAGGAGAAATCCCCCCCCCAAAAAAGAACTAAATAAAATGGAGGCAAGCAAGCTACTAAATACAAAGTTCATGATACTGGCTATAAGGATGCTCAGGAAACTTAGTGATAACATTGATAACATCAACAGCATAAAAAGGACATTGAAACCATAAAAAGGAACATGTCAGAAATGAAGACTGCAATACCCGAAATAAACAATACACTAGATGTAGTCAACAGCAGGCTAAACAAAGCAAAGGACTGAATCATCAATTTAAAATTGGGCTTCAAAAGAAAAAACACACACAATCACAGCAGCAAAAAAAAAAGTTAAAAAGAAAAATAAGGGTAGTCTAAGGAACTTCTGGCACAGCATGAAGCATAACAACATCCTCATCATAGGGGTACCAAAAAGAGAGAGAGAGAGAGAGAGAGAGAGAGAGAGAGAGAGAGAGAGAGAGAGAGAGAGAGAGAGAGAGGGGGAGAGAGAGAGAGAGAGAAAGGAATAGAGAGCCTATTTGAAGAAATAATGGCTGAAGACTTCCCTAACATGGTGAAACAAAAAGACACACAAGATTATGAAGATTTTTATGTTAAGTAAAATAAGCCAGGGAGCAAAAGACAAATACCATGTGATCTCACCTGTAAATGGAACCTCATCAACAAAACAAGCAAATGAGCAAAAAACAACCAGAGACATGGAAATAAAGAGCTAACTGACAGGGACCAGAGGGGAGATGAGAGAAGAATAGTGGTGGAAAGAAGAGGAACATGTACAAAAGACCATGGACAAGGACAATGGGGAGGGGATTGTCTTTGGTAGTGGGGGTTGGGCATGGCTGGCGAGAGCAATGAGGGAAAATGGGGACAACTGTAACAGAACAACAATTAAAAAAAAAAAGACACACAAGTTCAGGAAGCCTACATAGTCCCAAACAAGATGAGTGCAAAGGGGCACACACTAAGACACATCATAATCAAAATGACAAAGGTAAAAAACAAAGAAAGAATCTTAAAAGCAGCAAAAGAAAGACAGGTAGTTACCTACACAGGAACTCCTATAAGACTGTGAGCTGATTTTTCAACATAAACATTTCAGGCCAGAAAAAATTAACACAAAATATTCAAAGCGATGAATGCCAAAGGCTGGCAACCAAGACTACTTTACCCAGCAAGGCTTTCATTTAAAATTGAAAAAGAAATTAAAAGCTACCCAGACAAGAAAAAGCTAAAGGCATTCATTATGACCAAACCAACATTAAAGTAAATGTTAAGGAATTTTCATTATGAAGAAGAAAAAAAAACAGAAACATAGTTAGAGAAATTAAGTGGCAAGAAATACATACCTCTCAATAATCACTTTCAGTGTAAATGACTTTAATGCTCTAAACTTTTATGTGGAACCACAAAAGACACAGGGTAGCTAAATGGATAAGAAGACAAACAGGATAAAGCAAAACAGGGTTTAGAGTTGTTTGTATAAAAATAACACAATAATACATAAAATACAAGAACAAACTCTGTGTTTTGTGTACTCGCAACTGTAAACATATTTTTGCCTGAACATGTATGCTGTCTACAAGAAAACCACCTCAGAACATAAGACACAATGTAAAGACACAATCTTCCACAACTAAATTTAAAAAAAGTTGAAAATCTGAACAGACTGATAATAAATAATGAAATCAAGGCAGTAATAACAAAAACTCCCAGAAAACAAAAGTCCTGGACTGAACGTCTCATGGGCGAATTTTACTAATATTAAGATAAGAAGGAGGCCCCGGCTGGCATAGCTCAGTGGATTGAGCGTGGGCTTCAAATCAAAGTGTCTCAGGTTCGATTCCCAGTCAGGGACACACCTGGGTTGCAGGCCACGGCCCCCAGCAACCGCACATTGTTGTTTCTCTCCCTCTCTCTCTTTCTCCATTCCCTTCCCTCTCTAAAAAATAAATAAATAAAATCTTAAAAAAAAAGACAAAGAGGAATACCCTCCTGCTCAAACTATTCCAAAAACTTCATAAA